AATAAAAATGTATGTAATTTTATTATTCATTAAATTTTCAAGCTCTTTGACCCAGCAAACATTTTTTATTTATATTTATATGAAAAAAACTAAAGAAAATGGAAAGTAAACYGGAATGTGTATCTCTGTAAAATTTTGGCAAAGTAAAGCAAGTACAAAGAATATGAGTTTTCTTCAATATTCAAAAGACGATCGTCTAGCATTATGGATGAACAATATATTGTGGTACAGAAAATATGGCTGAAGAACTATCAGTACAAATAGTTATAATGTGGCGATCACTTTGTATAGATTCAATGTTTTCGAACTCCAACAAAAAATGACTGACTGGTTTTCAATGCTTTTCCAACAATAATTATATGTGTACAGTAATCTCTGTGCACGACTATATCACCGTATCACACATAAATTATTTAACGACGTTCCTAAAACATTTGATGCGGTCTAGAGATGTATTCGAGAAAAATAGGTAATAAATATAAGTTAAACACTTAGGTAACTCTTTACTTTAAATTCAAGTAGAATATTATTCATAGGCATAATATAAATATCAAAATAATTAAGCGTAATACAGTCGTAAGCTCGCTATAGCTCCTCGATTGGTGTGGACTAATCTATTTATAGTTGCAATTGCAACTAATGATAGGCGCTCTACCCATTTTTAAAATGGTTCTATCAATAACGCGCGGTGACATGATAATATTTTATAATATTCTAATATATTCTTATATTGTATCCATAGTTCCTGCCAAATTGAATAATTATAGGAAAAGGTAAAAAAAATTGTTGTTTTCACCTTTGCCCTAGGCTTCCTGTTATTTAGGCCTCGCACGTACACAATGCATTGACTACATTACGTAAAAAATAAATATACAAAAAGCTTGTTAGTAATTTTCATTAACTTTATATAGGATAGCAAACTTTTTTTTTTATTAGAAAGAAAATTTACAATCTGTATACAATAATTACAATGAGCAAATTTGATGTATTAACATAGAACAAAATGACATGAATAACATGATGAGGAAGATACCCAATGGTAACACCTCTTTTACTAATTTAATAGGTCTCTAATAAATTTTAAAATAAGTAAAATATATGCAAAAAAAAAAATAGATAATTAACCATGATGAAACTATAAAATTTGTACTATATATACAAAATATATTTGATTTAATCATAAGTTTTGAATTTTGATTGAAAAAATAACAATACTTTTAAGTTTTAACTTTTTAGGTCATTAACTATAGTAATATAT